CATTAGACTAAAGGTAATGTGGAAATAAAGCTCATGCAGTGCCAAGGACATGGCTTTTTGGTGGCAATCTGAAATATCCATGAACATACTTTGGAAACAATTAGCTCTTAGGTTTGTCTGTATATATGTGAACCGGATGCAAGTTAGCTACTGAGGTAGGGCAAAACTCTCACTTCAGTTCTCTGCTTTTGCCATGCCACCATAAATCATGGGTAATTCCTTGAGTATAATAAAGTAAGGCTGTTTTTATCCCAATGAAAATGAGAGAACATGCCAAGTTCTTGGCATAAGTATATGAAAATGAGAGAACATGCCAAGTTCTTGGCGTAAATATATATGTCTTGTAAAAGTTCTTTTTCTTGATGCATATGTTACTCTATCCTTGAAGAACACTTTTATTTCCTGTTTATGCACTGCTGAATCCAGCAGTGGCTGCAGTAGATGTTGGCACAGGTGGTCACAGGTTTTTGCAGAGGTCTGACTCCTATTCAGAGGAATGAGAGAATAGTTCTTGGGATGTGTCAGAAGAAGGAAGTATTATGTCCACATCCTGTGTTTTTCTAGGTTGATAAACTCACATATAAATTTATCATTATGCTTCCAAGCACTCCCATTGCTTATCCTTAGATTATTTCACTTTCTGGCACATTGATGGAAAGAGCTTGGGCTCAGCAGTCTTAATTATTTCTCTTTTTCAAAACAGTTAAGCCACAGAACACTGTGCAGTTTTCTTCTTGGCAACTGCTCTTTTCCATACTTCCAGGACATTGTTGAGCTCTTCTCACTTTCTTTTGGCATGGGTGCAAAAACAACCCTTTGCATTTATCACTGGAGGGCTTAAAAATGCATGAGCTATAAACTTGAACGTCACTGACCCTGATCATCTACCCTTTAATGTTTCTGGAATTTGAACAGTTTCTGTGCTAGTCTGTGACCCTTTTGCCAAAGAACAGACAGCTTCAAACAGCTTAGATTGTGGACTATTTTTCATGTCTGCTTTGACCTATTTGAAGTACTCTGCCACCTGTGTATGTTGCCCTACTCTGCAAACAAGGAAGAGGTGAGAAGGCATAGTCAGAATAATCTCACTCTCCTCCTTATTGTTCTGTGTTGTTAGGATGTTTGCCTTACTGTCAAATTCAATGTGTCTCACTCTCCTCCTTATTGTTCTGTGTTAGGATGTTTGCCCTGCTGTCAAATTCAATGTGGCACTTCCCAATCAGAAGGAAACTTGAGAGAAATTTGAGTCTCCCTCTATTGTGTGCTGTTTCAAGGCCAATGCTGCTGTTTGTTGAATCACACAGCAGGACTGAAGAAAAGCTATAGCCCTTCTGATTATCCCTGTATTTCAATCAAGTGTTTCCTCCCTCCACACAGCAGGACTGAAGAAAAGCTATAGCCCTTCTGATTATTCCTTTATTTCAATCAAGTGTTTCCTCCCTGATTTCATATTAAAATAAAATATTAAAAAGCCAGAATAAATGTGGATATAAGGAAAAACTCCCTCCTCAAAATTACCTCAAAAACTACCTGGCATGTGCCAGGTTTCAGGGCACCCTTGCAGTATTATATTATATTTGCAAACTCAAGACTTACAGTTATTTTATAAAATATCCTATATTATATCATATTTCCTTATGTTCTCAGCAAATGTGATAATCTGTTGTCCCAAGGTGCTTAAAAACTATGCTGTGATGTAAATGTGCAGCTACTGAGCTGATTTATGCTGTTTAAAGAATGGTTACTGCAAGGAGTATTCCCATTCTGTCCTGTGCAAGTTGTCTCTCTGGAACAAAAGGACGACACAACCAAGTAGGTTACTGCCATTCAAGCCACAGTGTGACAATTTCACTTGTGTTCTTTGATTCTTGAGAGTTTGTTGCTTAGGGTAGTCTTGCAAACGTCAGGTGTAGGAGCTGCACTCATTTCCTAGAAGATTCCTGAACTTTCCCTCACTTCTGTGCTGGTTCTTCAAGTATGGCACCCCCTTGTACTGAAGATAATGTTGTCTGTGTATCACCTTAAAGTGCTTTTGTTCTGTTTTCCCTTTTATGATCGTATGTACTCTTCCTAAAAGATAAGTGAGCTTGGTTAGACACAAGCAAATAGAGGCACTCATGGCAGGCTACACTGAAACAGGCAGGATTGCCCTGCCAGCTTTTCTGTGTGAGAGCCTGGAAGTGTGAAGTTAGCTGCAGCTGTGACAGTGTGAGAACAACAGCAGGAACTGTAATAAAAAACCCCCACTGTTTCTTCCTTTACTGATTTCATCTGAGCTGGAAACAACTGTGGAGTCTTGTCTTCTTGTCCCATGGCTCTCTGCCTTGTTTGTACTCCTGTCCCTGTCTCTCCTGTGGCAGGAGCAGCCTGGCCCTTAGATCCAACTTCTGCAGTAGAAAATTTATTTTTTTTTATGCTGCTGTAAGGTCTTGAGCTCAACTCAACAGACATGGAGGTTTGTCATAAAATTCAGTCAGACTAGAATTGTATCCGTTAAAAGAAATCCTGAGCATCCAAAAATCTCATTTAACCATTTTCATTAAGAATAATTTAAATCTGGGGTGCTAAAGTTGAGTAAAACTTTCCTACTGTGAGTTAAGAATCAGTCTCAAAGTGGGATTGTGCTCAGCCTTTATGAGGAGCAAGTCTTGTCTTTCTTTTATGAGACATGATATCCTGAATTAGTTATTTCTGCCACCACAGTCTGAATGTGTCTCACTGACTCCAGTGCAGTGCTGTGCCCTGAGTGCTCTTGTACAGCTATGCTTTCTGTCCAACATTGCTCCATCTTATTCTTTGGATTGTGAAATATTTCTAACCCTGCTTCTCTTTATCTAAATTTTGGTGAGTTCTTAAGTTCACCAAAGCTTTTGTTTGGCAATATTTGTAATTCCTCCTAACAGTACTTTGGAGTGATCAGTGAGGTTTGTCTATGTTTAGTTTACTTCTTGCTATGTGATTCAGGATGATGCTGGGCTGAGTACTAGCACTTTTTTTATCAGCATCTGCAGTGGGCTGCTCCTCAAAGCAGAAACTGTTTTTTCAAACCAGCTGTCCAGGGGCTGTTACCTTGATTAAAATATTCTTTTTGAAAAGCCAATGCTAGGTGTGCAATAAACTTTCTTTCATTAACAGCAATTCAAGATTAGTCATCTTTTAAGATATTAGAGAATGTTGCCAGTATGGTCACAGAATAACAGAATCAATCAGGTTAGAAAAGACCTCTGAGATCATCAAGTCCAACCTATAACCTGCTTGGTGACTCTCACCAATTGAAACCAGCAGGATTACAGAGGCATTAAAAAATGGTGTATCTACATACTCTTCTGAGGAGCCAAGTATTTTCCAATGGTTTCTACTGCTTCATGGACTTCATTTAAGAGATGCAAAAGCTCTTCCCTGAGCAGATACTAAGCATGTAATACAAAGATACATACTTAATGTCTGTTCAGGGTTATGATACAGAACTGTCTTTAAGTTCTCAGAACAGAGAAGCCCAAACTGTCAACTGCCTAAATCACCTCCTTCATTTGGTCATATTGTCTTCAAGATCCTCAGGATTTTCATTCATATCTTTGACAATTAGTATTTTAATTTTCTGTAAAACACATTTTAAAATTATACCTTTGACACATGATTATTTTTTTTTTTTCCTCTTTTTTTTCAGGAAGTATTTTGGAGAAAAGATAGGACTTTATTTTGCATGGCTGGGTTTATACACAGAATTCCTCATTCCATCTTCAGTAGTTGGGATTATTGTGTTTCTCTATGGATGTATAACCATTGAAAGTGACATTCCTAGGTAAGCATGTCTGTGATCCATAATTTGTTACTTGAAAATTGTAAGACTGTGTTTATTATTCTTAATGCTTAATGAGAATAATTGCTTTTAACTTGTCTGAAGAGCCGTGATGTACCATTATCAACCCTGCAAGCATTACAAACAGAGATGCACTGAGCAGATAAGACATTTGAATGCCACATATTTATTTGGCTGTTCAGTGTTTCAGCTCCTGAAACAGAAATATTTAGTGACTCTACTGCATTACTTTAAGTTCTTTTTCTAAGACATTCATTTGCTTTTTATGAATGCACATAACTCCGTGCTCACCCAGAAAGTCATTGTGCAGAACTCACTGAAATTAATGCACAAATACTGTCTAGTACTCTTGGTTTATTTATTCTTCTCAGTAAAATCAGACTATTTGCACAAGTAAAATGAACAATAGTTAGAAGGTTTAGCATATGCCTGATGGTTGAGGGAGGGGATTCTGCCTCTCTGGTCCACTTTGGTGAGACCCAGCTGAAGTGTTGCATCCAGCTCTGGGGTCTCCAGCACAGGAAGGACATTGATCTGTTGGAGTCCAGAGGAGGCCATGAAGATGATTGTATGGATGGAGCACCTCTTCTATGAGGAAAGCCTTAGAGAACTGGGATTGTTCAGCCTGTAGAAGAGAAGGTTTTGGGTTACCTAGGTGCAGCCTTTCAGTACCTGAAGAGAGCCTGAAAAAGCATTCAGAGGGACCTGAACAATCTTGAGAAATGGACCCATGGGAATCTCATGTGGTTTAACAAGATCAAGTGCAATGTGCTGCACCTGGGTTGAGGCAACCCCCAGCATCAATACAGACTGGGGGATGAAGAGATTGAGAGCAACCCTGCCAAGAGGAATTTGGGGATGCTGTTGAATGAGAGGCTGGACAGTAGCCAGAAATGTGTACTTGCAGCTCAGAAAGCCAGCTGTATCCTGGGCTGCACTAAGAGTGGCCAGCGGGTTGAGGAAGGTGGTCCTGCCCTCTACTTTGCCCTTGTGAGACTCCACTTGGAGTACAGCATCCAACTCTGGGGTCTCCAGGACAGGAAGGATGAGAACATGTTGGAGTGAGTCCAGAGAGAGGCCACAAAGATGACTAGACAGAGGAACTCTCCTATGAGGAAAGGCTGAGAGAATTGGGATTTTTCAGCCTGGAGAAGAGAAGGTTTACAGATGACCTAATTGCAGCCTTCCAGTACCTGAATGGAACCTACAATAAAGATGGAGACTACTTACAAGAGTACCTAGGGACAAAGCAAGGGGGTCTGACTTCAAATTGAAAGAAAGTAGGTTTAGTTTAGGTATTAAGATGCAATTCTTCACTGTGAGTGTGGTGAGACACTGGAACAGGTTGCCCAGAGAAGTTGTGGATGCCTCATCCCTGGACATGTTCAAGGCTAGTTTGAATGGAGTTCTGAGAAACCTGGTCTAGTGGAAGGTGCCCCTGCCTGTGGCAGGGGGTTGGAACTAGATGAACTTTAAGGTCCCTTCCAACCCAGGCCATTCTATAATTCTATATTTAGCCCCTACAGTATTCTCTTTCTAGACAGCTACAACTTCCAAAGAGGATCACTGTAGTAGGACATGATTCCTGATAGGTAAATGATGAACTGTACCACATCTGAGTCAGGGTCCACTTTTGTAGCTTGATCTCAATGAATCTTGATGGGCTGTGCCTGTCTGTGTGGAAGCATTTTCACTTAAGCGAGTTTTATGACTAGGATGTATCTGCAGCACCCTCTGCTGCCTTTTGAAATGGAAGAGAACATTACTGTAGGAACACAAGAGCTGGAAACAGCTATATGCCTTTCAAATGATATAATATTAAACATATTGACACTACAGTTTGAATAGTCCTAGGAATAGCAAAAAAAGCTGAGGATGGTTAATATAGGAACAATCATAATCACAACATGACAGTTATTGTTGAAGCAATGTTGTGGGTCTTTCCTTGGCTCACGATCCTGGCAAGGACACTTGAGCTTTGCACTGCTCAGTTCACCTAATTGAGACTGTGCAGGTATGAAATTCTTTCACATACAAGCCTTATGAAAAAAACTGAAAGCATATTCAACACTGTCAGGTAGAGTTTGGCCTGTTAAAAATGTACTGATAATGGAGTTTTAAATGTTTTTAGAAACTGAGTAAATACATAGCAAATAAGACTAAAAATTAAAACAACCACCTTACAGGGAAGATCTTAAAAATGTCTCTCCTCTCACATTTTTGTGGCACCATATTAAAAATGTGTGTTTTGTCAAGGCCACTTCATTCCCTGACAACCACTTCAGTATTATTTTTCATTAATTTAGATCTGATTTGTATCAAATAGTGTCACTGACTGCAGAGATGGCAAATTCCCTTTTGACTGTGTTTGAGTCAAACATTGCTCCGTATTGACACGAATCAGAGGACCACATTTCACAGAGTGTTGCTTTGTTTTTCTGTTGGTAAGGTGCCTATAAGTATTTTTAAAATTGGATGGCAATGAGCCTTGAAGAAACACACAACTTCTGTTCTTTGCTAGTGCAGGCCACACATTACAAATAGCTTTTTAATAGATGTGATGTGCTGCTTGTTATCACTAGTGTGTATTCCTATTTTCTGAGCTGCAGTACTCAGAAGAATTTGTGCCCTTGTCTTTCACAGTAAAGAGATGTGTGACCAACGCAATGCCTTCACCATGTGCCCTCTGTGTGACAAGTTCTGTGACTACTGGAACCTCAGCTCTGCCTGCACTACTGCTCGAGCTAGCCACTTATTTGACAACCCTGCCACAGTCTTTTTCTCCATCTTTATGGCTCTCTGGGGTGAGTAGTGCTTTGCATGTTAACAGTGTCATTTGATTTTTGGACTCCTGACAGAAATGAAAGCATATAGTAGCCTTACCTATAATAAAGTGTTGGTAGATTGAATGTGATACTGGAGAAAACAGTATTACAAAGCTTTCTGCTGTCAACAGCAAGCTTAGGAATAAATGGAGAGGAGATGTGTGGTTTGGAGGGACAAAATTTTGTCCCGTCTTCCTCTACTGCCTTTCTTAGAATAATAGTATCATCAAGGTTGGAAAAGATCCTCAAGGTTATCAAGTCCAGCCTTTGACTAATCACCACCTTTTCAACTAGACCAGAGCACTAGGTTCAGTCATTTCTTGAACACCTCCAGAGATGGTGACTCCACCACCTTCTGGGCAGCCTGTTCCACTGTCTGACAACCCCTTCTGTGAAGAAATTCCTCCTAATGTCCAACTTGAACCTCCTCTGGCACAGCTTGAGACCATTTCCTCTATGGAGAAAGTTGTGTCTTTAATGGCACTTCTAATATTTTCCATGTATTCATTTTTCTGCATTTTCTATTGACATGTCAAGTCCTTGAATACCTTCTGAATTTGGGGCCAGAATGTATTTGAGGATTGGTATGGTGCAGACAGCTGAAAAGGTTTAATTTAAGTGCAGAGTGCATGTCCTTCTGGAACAACTTAGTCATAAAATTTTATCAAAAGTTTATGGGATTCCAAGAACAATGGGAATATTAGAATTTTAATTATGATATATTTCAAAGTATTCCATGTAAACAAGCTTGGTTTTCTTTAATGGCAAATACCCCTGTCTCACTGAGGATATCAAAACACTTCATAAACACAAGTGAATGCATTATTCTTATTGGTTTTGGCCTCACCTCTGCCCTGAAAATTGTGTGTACTGCTCTTGCTTGAAGTACTGCTGGTGTCATGCCCTCATTTACTTGTTTATTGTAAAAGCTAAAGGAGCTATTGCTACTGTAAATTTTTTTAATTTCCCTATTCATTGTTCCCAAAATGAAATGTTCAGTCTTAGTATGAAATTGAGCAAATATCTCAATGTAGTATAGCCATCCCTCAGCAATCAGTGTTTGCAAGCCTCTTAAAATTTTCCTACTTGTTTTAGAAAGGACTGATTGGTAGTTTGGTGTTGGGTAAGGACAGCATAGGGTTTTTAAGGAACTTGCAGAGAGAACACATCATGGAAGTAGGAAGTTTTTATTTACCAGTTCCTGGAAACTCTAGAGCAGAAGTTAGGGAATATGTAAGAACTAGGACTGAGAAATGGGAAAAGATGAGGAATTTATAGACTCTCACAATGACTTATTTTCCCACTTCAGATTGCTGCCAGTTACAGATTAGACTGGTAGATGAAGTGGCACAGTTTACCTGCTGCCATGAAGCTTTGCCTTGAATACACTGCCTTGTCCAAGTTTTAGTGGAGCTGTTTAGACAGCACATGTATGAATGACAATTCATTTACTCTTTCATCAGTAAACAGCATTTTCCTAACAGAGAATCTGCACTGTAAATGTGCATCCATACAAATGACTATTTCCATGCAGCCTCATCCAGAATAATTGTATTTTAGTATCAGCGATGCAATGTGCAGAGGAAAATGTTGATACATCCTTGCACTAAGACAAATTAGTAGAATCTGTTATGGAACAGAAAAGGACAAAAAGTTCCATATGCACTGCTTTTTAAAAAAAGCATGTAAGAATAACAAAATTCTTTCTGAGTTGTAGCCCTCCTCCAAAAAATGTTTCCCACAGATTGGAAAAGTCTGTTCTTGGGACCATGATAACTGAGCTTGTCAGTGCAAGAAAATACAGCCAGTGTATACAAAGAACAGCGAAGTGAAATAAAGTAGCCTTTCCTAACTCTGCCCAGCTTGCCTATTAAGTATTAGATTCCATCAAATTTTGCTGCTTTACTACTAGGAGTCTGTCCTGGTTATGTCTAGCCCTCAATCTGTTGATAGGCAGATCTCATTCACACACCTAATCAGCTTGCCTCACACTAAATGTGAGTACACATTGCCTGAATGCTTTTCCATAGTAGCATGATGTGGAAACTGGCATGTCTTATGACTTACAGTTGTATACTTAGAAAGAACAAAGTGTGGTGATCTGGGCCAACTTCATTTCAAGATGGTATTGGGCACAAGAATTCTTTCATCCTGCTTGCCTTCTCCCGTTCTTTAAAAGGCAGATGGAACACTATGGGTAATATCTTGAAATGAAGCTGTTCCTGCTACCTCATAAGGTCTTTGTGATCCAGCAATCCTGCTTGCAAATGACCATATTCACAAACAGAGAGCAATGCTGTCCTTAATGTCACCAGTGTTCTGGGATGTTGAATTTCAGCTGTCAGATACATTTATTAGAAGGAGAGTTTCACAGAACCATAGAATGGTTTGGGTTGGAAAGCACCTTAACGATCATCTAGTTCCAACTCCCCTGCTATGGAGTCCACTAGACCAGGTTGCTCCAAACCCCATCCAACCTGATCTTGAACACTTCCAGGGATGGAGCAGCCACAGCTTCTCTGGGCAACCCATGCCAGTGCCTCACCACCCTCACAGGAAAGAACTTCTTCCTAAAACCTAAGCTAAACCTACTGTCTGTCAGTTTAGTTTCTCTGCTAGTGTAAGACAGTGGAAACTCACTGACTTCAGAACAGCTGCTGCATTAAGCCACTGAGTTTTTACAGAGCTAAATGTGGAACTGACTTTTTGTATAACAGGAAAAAATGGAATGAGTAATAGCACCCTATAAAATAACCAAATGTTTGTCTTTAGTCTATCTGAAAACCCTTGAGTTTTCAAACTATGCTAAATATAGTTTTTATATGTTCCCTTCTCTGTAAGGAAGAAGAACAGATAGCAGCTTAATTGCTTAATGTCTAGATTTGCTTTCAGTGTACTGCCAGTCCTGTCTTTAAATGATATTTATTTCTTACATGATAGTAGGATACCTGTGCAGAAAATATTTGCAGCTATCTGTTGGAATAGATTATGACTTGTAAAAACCAAGTTATTTTAATAGTATTCCAACTTTTCACAGTGTTATCTTACAGTGTGGATGCAGTCAAAGGAAGCTGGATCTAATTCTTCACTGTTGTGTGTCTTGTGGGGCCATCTACAAGATATTCAAAGTGATGTAAATACTGCTGTGATCTAACAATGTTTTTACAATACCCTTTTACTAATTGAAAAGGTGAAGTGAAGCATAAGAAATTGGGAAACACTGCCCTTGGTTGTTTGTAGGTATAGCTTGAGTATTGTGGGTATAGTGGTTTTTTTCAGTTGATATGTGTACTGGTTGAGTATTGATACTGTCATGAGAAAATAGGTGTCCACAAGTGATGAGTTAGAAATGTTGTTTCTAATAAATCTGTGAGTTCATAGATCATGAGCAGCTAGGCAAAAGGTTGTCTTGAGGAAAACAGCAAGTATGAGAGGAAAGTCAGGAGACTAAATATGAGACAACAGTAAAACATCTGTTCCTTCATATTAATGAAAAGGAGAAGACAGAGGCTGAACCAGTGGCCAGTCCTTTAGAACAAAATCACCAGGTCTGTGCAGGACAAAAGCATTCAACTGTACCACTATAATACATTTCAAAGGAAGATGTTATTCTACATATTACTGGGGATCCTGGTTATTCCAGTATCAGGCTACACCTACCTCAGAATGGTACATGGTGCATTAAGAGAGATGATGTTTTGGGCTGACTGTCAGCAGATATGGCTTCAGTTCCACTCTCTGACAAGAATTTACCAGTGGCTTTGGGCAATCCATATTGTATCTTTCTGTATTTTCTTTGTAAAAGATAGTAATTATTGTTTCCATGCTTTGCTTGTGTTCTTTCTTTAAAATTGGGCCTGAGTCTCTTTCTTAGAGCTTAATTTTAAAGGGTCTAGCAAACATCAGTTGGACCTTATAAGTAACACAAGTATTCACCACAGTGCACTGGATTTATCGTTTTCTCTCTTTTATCATTTTATTTTTTTTAAAGCTACTATGTTCCTTGAACAATGGAAGCGTTTGCAGATGAGATTGAGTTACTTCTGGGATCTGACTGGATTGGAGGAAGAAGAAGTAAGTTTCCTCTCCCAGTATTAATTTACTGTATAAATTATCCTGTATTTGAATATATGCATTGATCTTTAGATTTCACATGAGTGTTCTCCAGCCCAATGCAGTTTGTAGCTGTGTTTTTCTAAAGGACTGTAACTGGTAGAGTTTTGAGTACCAAGGTGTCATTTAGGAATTCATCACCTATATCTTTCTGGTCAGCTCTCTAATCTTAATAATGAATTTTTTGCTGAGAATGTCCATGTACCATTGTACAGCAGTAACAGAATGATACAGAACATATACCTTGTCATATAGATGTTATTTTACTATGTATAACAAAACTTTTCAGTGATGATGATAACAACAGGTCACAGTAACATAAGCAATATTTACATCCAGGTCTCTGTAGCTTCTAGAATTCCTCAGGCACATCATCCTGAGCTCCAGGTACTCACCAACAGAGCTGTTGCAAACAGTAAATGGTGTTGGTTTCTTCTTTTAATGAGCCATGGGGTTTCTAGCTGTACCTCAGTGGACTGAAAAACAAGACATACCTGTTTATTTGTATTTACAATGTCAAGTAACATGACATCATGATAATGTTGTCATGATAATGGTGATAATGTTATTCCACTTTTGCCTATTCCTCAGATAAGAATAATTGGAGAAAATCAAAAGATAACCCTGAGAACAGACAGCAGACTCCAGTATTCCTCTTCTTCCATCACTATCCCATAATGCAGTCTTCAGCAATGTCTTTAGTGTAAGGGAGACCTCCCAGGTGTTCATTCACTGGTGACTGGACTACAGCCTCCTCTATTTTGCACCCTGTTTCTCAGGTTCTTCACTATTCTCTCTCCAGATATGACATGGATGATGTTCACAGCATAACTCAGTACTCACAGTCTGTGAGTTGTGATGCAAACCCAGTGCATCAGCACACCAGAAGCTACTGCTTGTCCTGTGTAGAATGTCATACTACTTCCTGAGAGAGCAGCCATTCTTTACCAATTAAAGTACAAACTGAGAGACTAGAGAGCAAACCCTTGGCTCTGCAGAGTAGTTGATGAACCCACTAGATTTTACTGACTTTCAAGTGCATCACTTGCAGTATGAATTCCTAAGGTTTAGTTTAATATTTGCAAAATGCTGTGAAAGAATCTATAGATTCGTGAGGTCCTGTGATGAAGAGGCCTGAAGTGGTAAACGTTTGTGGACAGGAGCAGGAATCCTTTGTTTATGACAAGTGAAGGAGTGCCAGACAAATCTTAGCAGAAGTTGAAGAACTAGGAACATAGAATCATAAAAATAAGACTGGAATGGACCTTAGGGGGCCATCCTTTGTGCTTGGTAGGATCAACTCTACTTATATCATTATGAAAAGATGTTTGTTTAATTTGTTCTTAAATAAATCCAGCAGTGGAGATTTCAATTCCTCCCTAGGTAATCTATTCTAATGCTTCTCTATCTGTACTTCTAATAAGCTTTTCCTAGTGTCTAACCTAAATCTGCCTGCTACATGGTAATGTCAATATTTTTCTCTCTTTTTTTTTTTTTCCTCTTTCAAAGATCAAGAGAGGGACTATTTCTGTTGCCTTTTCAGCAGACTTCAACACAATACCATATCTCTTTATCATCTTCTTTTTTATTCTTTAAGATGAATTAGGCTCTGCTCATTCAGCCTTTGTTCTGAAATGTTTTTGAAGAATCATAGAACCATAGAATGGTTTGGGTTGGAAAGGACCTTAAAGATCATCCAGTTCCAATCCCCCTGCTGTGGGCAGGGACACCTTCCATGAGACCAGGTTGCTCAAGCTCTATCCAACCTTGCCTTCAACACAGGGTTGAGGCAGACACAACACTTCCATGAGACCAGGTTGCTCAAGCTCCATCCAACCTTGCCTTCAACACTGAGGCAGACACAACATCTCTGGGCAACCTGTGCCAGTGCCTCGCCACCCTCACAGGGAAGAATTTCTTCCTCATATCTAATCTAAATCTTCTCTCTGTCTGTGTGAAGCCACTGCCCCTTGTTCTGTCACTCCAGGCCCTTGTTTCTCTCCATCTTTCTTCTAGGCTCCATTCAAGTACTGGAAGAATTTTCTATATGTCTATTTGTCCTTGTTCCTTTCTGGACAATATCTAGTTGTTCCAGGTCATTTTTGTAGAAAAAATACCTTTCTGGACAATATCTAGTTGTTCCAGCTCATTTCTTGAAGAAAAAATATTCAAAATGGACATGTTTTTTGACACGACATCTTAAGCAAAATTTAATGCACTGTTATCTTCTGCCCTCTCTTGGTATTTCAGCAAAACCACAAAAGTTAGATCAGGTTTTGCTCACCTTTTATCCATTAGATTCATAAAGATTAGGATCAGTGTGATTGTAGAAAGCTACTGGCACTAGGTTTCAGTGGTGCTGAAGTCTTTACAAGTGTTGAAAATTATGCTGGAAAATTGTGTCTGATCAGGTTAGGCCAGAAGGAACCAGAAGTGGAATGCACAGGATCACTTAACAGAGCAAGAAAGGGACAAGGAAGAAGTTCAGGAGGTTTAACAGTTTTAAGACTAGATGGAATTAAGTTATTTATTATCAGTTTCTGTAAAAAGGGAAGTTAGAGAACCAAAACAGGGAGGAAAACAACCATAAAATTGAAGAGCTGAGAAGTACTTTGTGAGAATTATGTTGAAATAAATGCCTTTGGTGTAATTTTTGTGGACTCTTCACTATAAAGTTTTCAGCAAATTACTTTCTTTAAACACACTGGGTCAAGTCTTTTGTTTCAAAAGAGTCACACGAGACATTAATTTAGTCCATTTATTCGTAAATATCTTGGCAATGGCAGTCTGAGAAAGCAGACTCCCCAAGGCTTACATGCATGTTTGCAGCTGGCAGCTGTACAGACTGAGAGCATTTATGTCTGTACATCTGAAATCCACAAAATAATAGGTAGCATTGGGTACTAACTGGTAAACAGATAATTGTGTTGAAAAGCAATTGAGCAACTTATAAATAATTAGGAGAGGGAAACAAACTCAGACCAGAACCATGAAAACAGACAAAGCCTTGGAAATACCATTCATACCCACTCACTGAATCACACAATCATTAAGATTGGAAAAGACCTCAAGATCATCAAGTCTAACCTTTGACCAACCACCACCTTGTTAACTGGACCAGAGCATTAAGTGCCATGTCCAGTTGTTTCTTAAACACCTCCAGGGATGGTGACTCTACCACCTCCCTGGGCAGCCTCTTCTGCTTGTGAAGAAATATATAGGGACTCTGATTAATGATGTGAGCAGCAGAAAGTATTGCCTTGCCACGAATCTTCAGAAACTGTATTTCTAGGACCTAGGATGTTCATACTTTAGGTTATTTTGGGTGGAAGAGATTTTACCTCATTTTGCCAACAATCCTGGGTAAACTGAAATAGAAATGCAATTATAAAAGATGAAATTTTAGAATTTGCACCATGACTTGGAGGTCAAATGGACAGAAAGTCTGCACTAGCTCAAATGCTGAGGAGTCTCCTCTCATTGGTTTTGTTATTGTTCAAATAGTCTTGCAGTTATACTGTTTCATTATAGCAGGGAGGAACTGACGTGTCTTCATTAGGAACATTTTTGGTAAGATACAGTTTCAAGTTAATATCCTGTGCTCTGTAAAATGTTTGAAAACTCTTTTTTTTCTCTTTTTTTTTTTTTTTTTTTTTTTTTGCGAAGTAATTCCCAAAGCCTCATTCCTCCTTTTGCTATTTGATGACTTAAAAAAGATAATTACTGGACCCTTAAGGGAAGACTTTGAGATCACTGCAGATTAGTGCTAAGTTAGATAAAGTAATAAGGAAGGTAGATTGGGTAGGACAGAATTAAATGGCAAGCTGACTTTGTGACATTAAATATGTTTACTGATTCTTCCTATTCTCTCCTAACTCTGTGTTGGTTTAACTACTGTGTTTTCAAAATGCATTGTGATCTGACTAATTTGATATTTTCATCTTGTCTTCCACCCTGAAAATTATGGGAGAGAGAAGAAGAGAATTTAAGGAGAAATCTATTCACATTATATATTCCTATCAAACTGGATCATTACCTACTCAGCCTTAGTGTGCAATGTATAGTGGATGCACATATATATGTTTGATGAAAATCCTGGAGACCATTCTCAGGGAAAATTCCCACTGACGTTAAGATATGTTCTGTCTGAGTGAAAATTTCATGATTTGTTTTCAGAATGGGAATTATCATTTTCTACTCTGAGCACTCATTTGGCCTCAAAGTACCTTGGCTTACATGGTTTTCAATAAGTGTCTGGCAGCTGTACTGGCAAACTTCCAGCATCATAGGATTCATGTTTATCCCTACAAGGACATTTGGCCTTTTTGAAGTCATCACAACTATTTCCAACTTATGGTCCTAAGTGTACAGCTCTTCCCATTTTCAGACAAAGAATTGATTCTCTATCACAAAACCCTTTTTACTGCAGAGTGGAATTGTTCCTTCACATCCATATATATATATGGGTCAAATATCTCTGAATCTGGAATGTAAAGAAATGTTTCATGCAATGTACTCATAAAAAGAATATACATAAATATGCATTCCAGGAAGCTCTGTGGTCTGTTCATTCTAGGGTAAGATGACTTGGCAGGTTCAGTGAAGGCAGATCAATGAATATTCCAATCCAGACATAGGTGTATGAAATCTAGTTATAAGGACATGGAAATGTCTTACTAGGAAAACAGAACATAACTTGACCAAATTTGAACCACATATGTGCTCACAGCAAAACTGTCAATAGCAAAAAAAGTAAGTTACAGTACAGTGTTTTTCTTGGTATTTATTTGCTCACCCTGTTTCTATTCAAGTCAATTTTCAAAAGTTGCTCTGACCTCTGGAAGCTTCCCCTGGTGTCCCAGAAAGCTTTGCTTAGCAGAAAATAAGAAACAAAAAGAAGAAAGACAATTAAGCTCTGCAGGTGCCCCTGTAGTGTAATTACATTTCCTCAGTTTCCTACAGCTTCATTTGTCTCCCTACTTGGATTAAGCTGTGTCCTCTCGTGTAGCCACCCATGCCTGATGTCTTTGTCCTCACTTCATACAAGTCTAAGATGTTTCTTTCATCTGAACCTTGTCTAAGGAAGTGTGATACAAAATAGTGCAAACCAAGAAGTTACTGAAAACTTACAAAACATCAAGATACAGGTGTTAACCATAGTAATTCCCTGGCTCCCAGGCACTTCACCCACTTGTCAGCTACTCCAGCTTGAGCTCCACTAGCACTTACATACTCAACTTCATGTGTACACTTGCTCCAGGTGTTGGTGGTCAGACTACCATACAGACCAGCAAACTTTGCATACAACCAGCCCTTTTTATGCCCTTATCCCTCTGTTTTTCTACACCTGTTCCTCCCCAGGTGACCTAGATCCCTCCCTTCCCCACCTTTGGTTCCTCCCCCTAAACATCCCATAATAAATCTTATGCAACTCTTAAATGCTCTTCCTTTGCATCCTATAATGTATCACATACTTGCAGGCAGTGATGCTCCTGGTCTAAAAGGTGCTGTGGTGTTGAATTGTGGATAGTGAATAAGTGACCAGAACTTTCAGGGTTTTTTCTCTTTTAATTGTAATCACATGTTTGTTTGGTTGGTTTTTTTTTTTTTTAGGAGCATCCCAGACCAGAATATGAAACCAAACTGCTTCAGAAAAAGCTGAACAATAAGAACATCACAACAGAAAATTCAAACAAAGTAAGATGCAGCTTATTCTTTTCATTTATATTGGATTTGTGCTTTGTTATCTTGTGATAATCTTTTAGTCTGTCTCTGCTAGTTTGCAGAAGGAATTTTTTTAAGCTCTTAATCAGCCTTGTAAATTGGCTGGTGGTGACCTGGTGTCACGTGGCCCTGCAGTGCCATTGCAGGGCTTTGAGGTCATCACTTTGCTAGCTCTGCAAAGTAAAGCAATTTGCATAGGAATTGGGTTGAAAGGTGTTTGGGGTCTAATCTTTAGAGTAACGACTGACCTTTAAGCTAATTGCCCCAGGAATTCTTATAGCAGTGGCCTAAAAAGTCAGTACTTTCTGGACAAGAAAGAAAACAGCTTTTATTACAGTGATTTCATTTGCAGAGGTAACATTGGTGTCTTTAGTCATGTTGTAGTTAGAGAGTTGTGAAGTTCTGACAGTGTTTCCAGTATAAACAGGAAAAAATAATAATTGGTTATTTTTAGATTGAAGTGGGTTTAGGGTTTCTGTGGCTATTTCAAACCTAAGAATGAGCACTGTTTTTATCAATTCCCTCTTGTAAAATGCTGGCTGAGGTCTGTTTCCTAAGTATTCATGAATTCTGTAGACTTGGTTAGGCTTGGTTAACCATTGCTTATTCCCTGCATACCACGTGTGCCAGCAAAGCCAAAGCATTCCAATACCATGATCATTTTCCAGGTTTAAAACATTGAGAACCAGAATCTGAAGTGGAGAATACTGCAGTTTTCTGTTTTGGTCCAACAAATTTAGCCCTACAGCTTATGGAAGACCTTCACTATCAAGTTCTTTTGTTGGTCACCATGAGGATAATGAAGTGTTTCCAGGGAATCTTTCATATCAGTGAGACTTCTTGTCACCTGTTGGGCCCACTCAAATTCCACACAAGACAACAGAAAAATTCTCAATAATTTCAGTAGGCTTTGGATCTTGCAGTATGAGCAGAGACTCTCACTTCTTCCTTGAGGCATTACACACTTCTCTTGGCCTTCTAAGTGAGGAATCAAAGACTGTAAAACTTGGATAAAGCTGTTGCTGCTGTTCAGCTCTTTCTGACTTAAAGTACATGAAAACTGGAAACAATTCAGTGATTGATGCTGTAGAATATTATAATCATCTTGCTTACATGAGACACAAAAATCACTGCAGTATAAATTAGAAATTAATTTAAGGTAAAACAAAAAAACAAACAAACCAATTTAAGACAGTAGATGGAAAATGAGGACCAATGTAAAGACCCAGCACTGTAAAAATGGGAAGAACTTCTTTCACACACCACGAATGGAAAGGCTTTCCCAGAATGTATTTTGTTTCTAAGTACTTTTTGTGCCAATGTGGACGGAAAAATACTGAATTACTAAATCCTGAATTAGTAATCTCCAAATTACTGAAATGTACTCCAAACAACCGAGCAGTTTTCCATCAGTCAACATTTTGCTTACTAATTCTGTTGTAATTCTGTCCAGCAAACAGCACATTAGTCTGGGTTTGGAAGATATGTTGTTCAGGCATTTGTACCTCAGAGTTTTATGATATTATAAGATCAAGAAAGGTTGATGTGAGACCTGCTGAAGAGGAAAAAGGCCAGTTCTTAACTGAACTGTGATGTTTAATTTAACTGTGGAAATGCACCATTGCATTTTGCTGTGGTAGACCCTGAAGAGTTAGACAATAAAGTGATGAGTATTTAAGACTGTAATCATTCTTCAGCCTTACTTTTAGGGGTTTCAATCCTTTCTTATTCCCCCTTCAGTTGGCTTTATGTTATACTCTTTGCAAGACCATTAGGTCAGGAGATTTTGCATGGCAGGTTAATATTAAAGAACAGGTTTCTGTGAGGTCTCTGGCTCAGTATTTCTGTCTTGTTGGATGGAAGCCAAAGTACAGGACTTTGTCATATTAGCAGTTCAGAGCTAGTGTCTGGACACTCATCAAAGCAGAGGTCTCTCTGTAGTTAAAGATTCAATCCTCTTGATTTCTTGGTTTTGCTTGAATACATGGATGCCTGTGAGGTCTTCTTGTCTTCATGTCTTGGTTGACAGTCTAATATCATGGTATGAATCTCTGTGAATTCTCTCCTGAATATATTTAGCTAACTAGTGTAAATTAAAGGCATATCTTTTTGGTGTGGCTGGTCAACAACTGTAGTGTACTGTGCTAATATCAAAGGACTGCCTAACACTTCTCATTACTTATCTAATATGAAGTCAGAAGTCTCCAGTTCAGCAGCTGTGGCTTGTTGGGATAGAAATGATGCCAAAGCTGTGGCTGTTGTGAGAATACTGATTTAGAGCATACGTAAAGGCCTATATTTCTATAAAATTACTGGCTTGTTTCCACTATGTTAATTCCTCTGTTCCGGTGAGGATGTGACTGGTTTTATGGCAAGAAACTGAGCTTTTATGTAGAAAGCTTTGTGTACAGTCCATTTTTAGTTTTTTGCCTTACTCCAACAAGATGTTCCTGTGAAGATAATTGAGTTATTTTTGCAATGAAGGGATAGGGATTTGGTTATGGGCTGTTTTTGTGATTGCAGAAGAAAATTGACACTACTTGCATACACTCTCAGATGATAACTTGGGAATACCTGTTAAGAGGAAACCTACTTCAACATATAGTTTTTCTTGTCTGCTGTTGAAATCATTAAATTTAATGAGTGTGGAATATACCCAGCACCTGTCAGGGCCAGTAAACATGAGTCACTCTACCCAGGCAGCATATTCCAAATCAGCCTGATGAGGCTGGCAGCAGAAAGTATGACACATCTGATGCATGACTTGCCCAATGGGGTTTGTGTTCTAGAATACAGCTTTCATACAAAATGCTACTTAGCCTATTTCCACTGCTGTAATAAATAAAGCACTAAATTTCAGCCTACACCACTCTGTGTGGTTCAGGCTGTTTTAATAAATATTTTATTGGTTATTTTGAGAGTGGGAAAGAAACTGTGAGGGCTCAGAGTGCTTCACAAAAGTTTGGTGTGAAGTTACTCTAACAATAACACTATTTCAGAAGATAATTCATTTAAAGCTAAAGGAGTTGAAACATTTAAATGAAATGCCTCAGGCTAAGTAGCAAATGCATAAACAGCACTAATGAATTATGACATTCAGTTTAAAAAATGACAAGTTCTAAGGGACTGGCTGGGGAAACCTGTAGTGATCTGACTTATAGTCAGTAGTACTATTTAATTCTATATGATCACATATTATTTATGAAGGCCTGGAGTGACAGGACAAGGGAGAATGGCTTTGCACTGACAGAGTGTAGGTTTAGATTAGGTATATCAGGAAGAAATTCTTCCCTGAGAGGGTACTGAGACACTGGCACAGGTAGCCCAGAGAAGTTGTGGCTGCTCATCCCTGCAGTGTTCAAGGCCAGGTTGAATTGGACTCTGAGCAACCAGGGCTAGTGGAAGGTGTCCCTGCCTGTGGCAGGGGCATTGGGATTAAATAACCTTTAAGATCCCTTCCAACCCAAACCATCCTTTAATTCTGTGACATAAAAGCTTGCAATGTAATGCATAACTTCTTGATTCATGTACATTAAAAGGTCTCTTTGTCCTTGCAGATGAAGGGTTATATGTGCACGCATGAGTGCATGTGTCTGAAAATACATTCACACAAATTGCAATAAAAACTTCTTGATTCATGTACATTAAAAGGTGTCTTTGTCCTTGCAGATGAAGGCTTAAGATGAAGGGTTATACGTGCATGCATGAGTGCATGTGTCTGATAATACATTCACACAAATTGCAATAAAGCAATTAATATTATAGTTTGCTGTTCTTGTTTAATGCACTATAACACTGAAGACAGAAATATTTAATGAATAGGGTAAAGTTACTGTATCTGTATAATGTTAACCAAAAAGGTGTTGGATATTTGTAACCTTCTGATAAGTTGTTCTTGTCTCTCTGCAATAGTGATGTTCTCAATGGAATCATACACAGGTCAGGAAATGAAAATTGGTCTTGTGCCTGAAAATATGCAGATGGGGCTTGATCCAACTCTCACTGGAGCTGATGGAAAGAATGCTTCCAGTCATTTCTGGGAGAGATGGATCAGGCCCTGATTCCTTTTCATTAAATGTCCAGCTGATCTGGCAAACATGATGCAACATCATGCATCTATAAAAATATATATATATTCTTATCTTTCCTATTTGGCAGGAAAACTAATAACTCATTCTACATATTTCTCAAGGAAAATTTTCATTATAGAAAAAAGAAAGGCTTGTCTCTTGGCTCATGTCCTTACTTGGAGCAAACCCTGAGAATAATAGAATCTGGCATTCTATCTTTCCTTTAATTCACTTTAAATGTGAAAGTGGCAGAATAAGTTGTTTAAATCATTAATTCATCTGGTAATTGGAATAAAAGAAAGAAATATTTCTTTTTGAACCATTATTTCTGTTAACAACTGAATTAAAGCAAGATGGTTTGAAGAGGAAGGTCTCCAGTGCAAGGATGATACAGGTAAAGAGAAAGAAGAATTGTACATTTCTGACCAATATTTTATATATATATATATCTCGAAAATTTCAACGTTGCAAAACATGAAAGAGCAATTCTTGTTAGCAGTGGATTCCTTACCTGGTCTTGCATAAAGAAATCTCCCACAAGACCTGAAAATCACTTCAAATGTTGGAGTCCATGTCTTTATTAAGCAAATCTCTGATAAGAGTAACTAAATTAAAAAAAGAAATCTCATTAAAAAATATATTAGCTATAACTTTGTAGAAGAAACTGAGATAATGGGTTATAAATACTAATTTGAACAATCAGAACTGTAAAAGAACTTTGAAAAAAACGAGAGTTCCTTAAGTACTAGTATTTTAGCATTTATTGAACCCTATTATTAACGTGATAAACTCATCATTTTGCCCCAGTATTTCTTAAATTGGCCAGTGACTTTCTAGCCTCTGTCATTTCTTTACTTTGACAAGTAGCTTTTTAAGCATGCAGGATAGTAAGAGGAAACATAT